TATGTTTTCACAGAGACATTCCTCTCCTATCCCTTTACTGATAGACTCAGCCTTGGCCAGCGGTGGGTCCCTCTTTTGAGCTGGCTGGGGGTTGCTCTGTCAAACTCGGGAAGCTTTTGGCAGGTCAACGCCGAAGCCACTCTGCACTGCAGCTCCCCACCCTGCCGCCAAAATCCAGCCAGGCCAACCCATGGCCAAAGTGAGAAGCACAGCAACAGTGAGGAGTGTGTTATACCTTACTGAAGTAAAGATGAGGGAAATGAGAAACAATTTACACATAATATGTAGGAAATGTGGATTAAGAGACTGAATCCAATCTGCAGCTTTTTCATTCCACGGATCTGAAGAACTATATGTGCACATCAACCATATAATCTTGATGTAGATTTCAACATACTAACATGAAATTCCAGACACATATACAAAAGTTGTGTTCTGGGTTCCTTCAGCAAACTGGCTATTCCATGAAACACTCATTGTATAGGTAGCTCTGACGGATTCCTATAAGCAGTTTTAATTTCTTCCGGACTGAACAAGAAGGAAAACTTAAGTGCCAAACATTTGCACAAAGCATTTTGGAGAGAATTGTGACCTTATATCAATGGAAAAAAAATTCGACTTTTGTCTTTATGGAGACCAGAAAAAAGCCTCGGATCTCTTGTCTTGAAAAGGATAGTCTTCCTTCTTAGGGAGCATAACTCCAAATTTGATTAGATCTATTAATGAGGTCAAATGATGCTTTTAGACTAGTAGCTAATGTAAACCAAATCTATTTATCACTTTGGCAGTGGTTCCTGCAACAAAGTTAATGAACATTACAGCATTTATAGTTAGCCTATCAGAAATCGTGCTTTTTGTGCAAAAAGGCAGAAGTTAGTAATCAATCATCATCATCAACCTCATCATAATAGTGCTGCTAAATGAGCTTCTGAAAAAGAAGAGCAACATGGCTATTAACCTTAACTGTACCTTGAAAATAGATTTCTTGCTACAAAGGCCGATACTGATGTGTGGGTTGCAGCCTTGATAGCTTCTCAAAGAATAAAGGACATCGAAGTATTAGGCAAGGGCGCAACCCATATTTAAATTCTTTGCTTCAGTGCTTTAAAATAGAACTGTGCATTTTAAAAAAAGAAAGGTCAAAGCCTGCTATTTTTTTTAAATAACAGGTGAAGACAACATTTTGTTCAAGGGACTGGAGTTGTATATGGTCAGTAAATAATGAAATTAACTTTCTTTTTTCTGTATTAGCAGTGTAAACGTCTAATTGCATACAGATTCCACAGAACTGTATCTTTGTAATATCACATTTTCATAGTGACAGCCATATGCTGGCAGAACATTGCTGCCTTCTGCCAAAGCTATTGTGCGCATCCACGCCAGTCATGATGTCCTGGGAAGTTTGGCTTGGTGGGGAAGAAGTGAGGGGAGTTACCTTTTTTGGTGATTGTTGAGGCATAGGTGAGAGGTGCCATGGGAACAGCTCTCTCTTTCCATCTCAGCACTAGGATGACATTTGGGATAGCTGAGCTGTTGGTGCCGACACCCTCAAAATTTGCAAAGCTGGCGTAAGTATCTTGACTGACACCTCTGCTTAATAGATAGAGGTCATAAAAACATCTTAGTGTGAATGCCTGGGGCAAGCCTGGGACCATTCAGTCCTTCAGCACACGCCCCCCAGGCAGTCTGGCAGACTACATTGCAGAACAGCTCGCCTAGCTGCCCTGGCCTGCCAGACGTGCATCATATATCAGTGCAGCAGAGCCCAGCTTATTATGCACCCAATGCCATGAGCTATCGTCACCCACAGAACGTTCTCAAAACCCCTGTAGCATAAACGGTTTACCCTTTGCCCTTTCCTGAGCTGAGCAAGGTGCAACATCAAAGACAGAGTTGCTTGCCAGGAATGCGCCCCCTGCATACCCCCGCACAACTGAGTCAGTACACAATTTGAGATCCCTTGGAAAAATACGTACCTGCAGCCACAGCCAGCCTTGCTTCGACTCACCAAGGAGAGCAGAGCCAGCCGGGGGTGGAATAGCACTGTCTCAATGCCTGCATCCTGCTGTGGTGCACTCTACGACTGACACATGTTATTTAAGCCCAGTCTGTGTACAGTGCACCCAGTCAGGCGTTGCTGGCCATGCACCAAGGCCAGGATTGCCTAACAGTCTGTCCTGGTTTGAGCTAAACAGAACCAATTCTGTTCAGTGATTTTACTTTTCAGCTAAGTCTCTTCTAAGATACTGCATCACTTTCTGAAGTTGGTATTTAGCAAGGGTCGTGCTCAAGGCAGTGTGATTGGACAGGCTTGATCTGGTCATGTACAAGCCTGTGCATTCTCTTAGGCTGATGGTTGGACAAGGGCACAGCTTTTGTGAGCAGTCAGTTAAACTCACCCACCACGCAGGCTTGGAACCTTACACTGTAAAGCCTCTCAGGCAAGACTGTCTTATTATTTCATTTGTGTGCAATGTCTGATCTGGTGAGGCATTTCTTCTGAGTCGGTGCCTTTAGGCACTATCCCACACGCAAATGAGTGTCTGTTAATAATGATAATATTTAATGAAAGGATCTTGTTCAACGTTGTTTCTGTACGCTTAAAATAACAGATCAAGAAATGTGGATACTCAGCTGATTTCACCAAGTATAAGCTATTGCCCAGCAAAAGATACATTCCTGTCACAAAAAGAATTACAGCTTCTCATATGAACAGTTACTGCCTATGTACTGCAATTAGTCTAACATACAATAAAAATTTTAAAACAAAGCTTTTATTCTGTATGGAAAAAGGAGACTGGTTTTGATTTTCTCATTTTTTTTTTATAATTTGTTTATCACTGCTACAGCAATTAAATTATTTTTTTAAAAAATCATTCTGGATATTGAAGATATGAATAGGTTCCCAAACCTATTAGAAACCAGTGTTTCTCACTGCTTACCATACTTAAGTATGTAAATGCTTTCCTGCTGGAGTGATGTTAAAATATGAAAAACATCAACAGAGGGTTTTGTTGATGATACTTCTGAAAGCATTAATCATCAGTTTTAGGAATCAGCTGTTTGCACAATTCTCAGCTTCAGAATACATCTATTGCTTTAATAAGTGGGTGGCAGATATAACATGTATTTTACATCCTATGCTGTAGATGAGGCTTTTTAACCTGTCTTTATCTTACCTTTCATAGCGGTAAAGCAGGTTCATCCCAAGCCTTTTTGACAGTTAGAAAAAAAAGCAGATATATGAACCTGCTTAGTGTCTGTTCAAAGTCAAGAATATGGCTCTGCTGGGCTCTATAACGTATGAATAGAGGTAAAAGATCAAGTCCTAAGGAACTTTTTACAAACAGAAAGAATTTGATTATTTACAAGGCAAATAATTACTTTATATTTTTACATTTGGCATTATTTCACATGAAAGATGGTAAATTTCTCTGAGAATTTCACCACATATTTTAATAAGGTGGGGAATGAAAATCTGAACTGACAACAAAGCTGACAAGCATCAGGACTGTTTCAGTGGGTAGGTTCATCAGTTCAGTGTGTATGAGAAGTAAATTCTCTTTACTCTGTTCTATTCCATACTTCAGTGCTTTGTCTTTGTGCATGAATTCTGTTCACAATTTTGCTGGCTGGATAATAAAATGGAAGGAGTCAGGAAAGAAAAAGGATAATTGTTAAAGCTTTAAATTAGAAGTGAAAAATTATTATCAAAGTAGCTGTACTGGGTTTGCATGGCAAGGTTTTGTAGTGGGGGCTATAGGGGTGTCTTCTGTAAGAAACTGCTAGAAGCTTCCCCTAATTCCAAAATATCCAGCTCAAGCTGGCTCCAAGACAGCAACGGCCAAACCCATTCAGTGGTGGTAGCACCTCTGGGAGAACATATTTAAGAAGGAAAAGACACACAAAAAAAGAAAAATGACGCATGCAGCCAGAGAGAAGAGTGAGAATATGTGAGAGAAACAACACTGCAGACACCAAGGTCAGTGAAAAAGGAGGGGCAGGAGGTGCTCCGGGCGCTGGAGCAGAGATTCCCCGGCAGCTCAGGGTTGCCATGTGCACTGGGTATCCTCCTGCACGTAGCTCCCCGCACTTGCAGGGTGGAGCCCTAGGACCTGCTGCTGACGTGAACTTTGCTCCTGGCAAAGATGTAGCACGGACCTGTGGTCCTGGGAACGTGCTGGCAGCAAATGAAGCCCCTGTGGTTTCCTCTGCCCACACCAGTCAGTGATGTAGACCAGTGCTCCCATGGTGTCTTCTATGTGATGCTAACCAAAATAATTTTATTCTATGTGTATTAATGTCTGCATCTCTGCAGTTCAGGTATTATTACCTACCTCCTTTATAAGACACTCTGTGACTTACTGGTGAAAAGTGCTGTCTGTGAGCCATTTTTATCTGAGACCTTCTAAATGAATATTAAATCTCATCAAGGAGTAAAACTGGTTATTACTTTCAGTGTGAACTTAGCATTACTCGAGTGGTTGTTAATTCTTTTTAATAGTAGCAGTTCTCCTTTAAACCCTAATCCATCATGTAATAGCATCCTGTGTTAAGTTTGTATATGTTAACAGACCATTGGCTTACAGACAGATACAGTTTCTATAAGTTCATCTTCTCAGAAATCACAAATCAATTCCTTTTTTTAAAGGACTTTAGCCCTGCATAGTATTTTATTCAAACGTGTGCCAAATTAATTTGGATGGCAATTAAGTTTTTACCTAGTTTTGGAACTTAAAACATTCAACATGTACTAATTCTGGCATGCAAGAAATGTTATCGCTGCTTTGAAAACTGAAATACAAACCTGTCCCTCATATTTACAGGGCAAACCTTGTAAATCTGACACAAATAACGTTTCCAAGTGTTGAAAAACTGAGAAGGAAGGTAAAACAAAACCAATGTTCACGTAAAATGAATAGTATCAGCTAAGAAAAACAAATATATATGGGCATAATTGATTTTTTCCTCCTCCTCAGTTTCATTACTTTTTAGTCTTATTCTCTTGATTTCTGAGTACTGGGATTGATAAAAATGGATTATTTTCTCCCTTTCAAAATTCCAGTTCCAAGTAGGAGGGAGTTGCACGACTTTACTTTTTTACTGTTTTTTTCCCTTCAGACTATCTACTGAAGTTTGAAGTGCATCCTATTGTATATGTCACAAGAAGAGTGAAGTGTATTTTAACCAAAAAAAAGAGAATTGTCCACATGATGGAAAGCAGTCCTCTCAAGCTTCTACAGATTTGCTTGTAAGAGTTGAGTATTAGCCCCATGGGTTGTTTTGCCCCTTCTCAGGGAAGTATTTGGCCTCAGCTGTTGTTGATACATAGACTTTTTGGAAAACCTGCAAAAAACCTGTCTGGCTTCCAGGTCTGGGTGGAGGGTGCAGCTTTCTTCATCTTCCCCAGCTGCTCAGTGTACCCAATGCTTTCACCGGCAATTTTCTAGAGCCTGAATTCATTTATTTTAGTTTAAAAGTTTTATGGCAGCAGATATATGAACCGACAGGAAGCATCAGTCTAAAAATATTATCTACTTGATTAGAATTTCCACTGAAGTCTTTACCTACAATGTTTCCTGTAGTGCCCTAGAGGTGTTGCCCGAAAGGGAGGGCTGCTTTTATTTGTCATGCTGGCTAGTGTAGTGTTCCTTCACAAGAGACACGTTTGTGCAGCAGGGAGCTGGGCTGCTGGTTCATCCTCTCTGAGCCATTACGTGCCAAGTAGGGGGATATCCTTCCTTCACAGAGGGCAGTGGAAAAAGACAACCAGATTTGCTGGAGGCAGGGGAAAGCAGGAGTAGGCAGGAAGGACTTGATGATCTCAGAGGTCTTCCAGCCTCAATAATTCTGTGATTCTGTGAAGGCTGGGAGCTGGGAGAGGGGACCAAACAGCCCTGCGGAAGCACAGCACTGCTGGGAAGGGCAGCCAGGCACCAGAGACCACAGAAGGGACCTTCCCAAGGAGGAGCCGTGTGGCCTCCAGGGAGGCTGTGCAATGGTAGTTGAGCTGAGAACAAGCTGAAGACCAGCAATGACACAACCAGCCCAGCAGAGGGGAGATCTGTGTTAACTCTCTTTTCCTCATAATCTGTTTCACTTTGGTTGAGAGGAATGGACATGTTAGGGAGCTATTTTGATTTTAGTATTTGTACTCATGAAACCTGACATTGGAGCTTGAAGGCCTTTGTGATCTCTCTGAGGCACTTCCTTCAAGAGGGAGACATCTCAGCAGCTTTACTTCCTCGTTCTGGCTGCTTCACCATCCATCCCATCTTACTGGGAAACTCCCCTGCCTTGCTTTTTCACCCACATGTCTCAGTAGATGAGGGGCAGAGGATCTGATGAGTCTGAGTGATGAGGAGCTGAGGGAGAGAGGGAGCAAAACATGTTGGAAAGGAGAAAGAGATAGTGACTGAGACAGAAATGGTTCTGCTCTGCAGAAAGAAGATACGCTGTTGGGTAGATTGGTTTTACTGTGACAGAGAACCTGTCACATGACCTAAAAGGTGAATTAATACCAGTAATAATAAACATAAATGACCTGCAAATTCCATCAGATTCTCAAGCAACCCAAGCACCTCAGCTAAGTTTGTAGCCCTATCTAGGATTACTGCTAAATTCAATGTCAATTTATTTGCAAAGACTGAAGTGTTCAGTCACACAAAGTTTGCATAATTTTGCATGATAACGTCTGACAAAGAGGCTATAGGCAGGAGTGTATTCAATGCATGAAGCTCATCTGATCAGTGCACTTTTACAGACTGTTTTGCATGTGGGGAACTTTCACTGTCAAAACACACATCTCTTAGCTCAGTTAAAGCTTCAGCAACTTCCATAAACTATTCATAGAGATAGTCTTATGTAACTGCATATGCTCATAAAATAGAGAAGGGGAGGGAAATGTCAGCATGAGACATTTGTTAAGATACTTAGTAGTGGTTCCTTCTAGTGTTGGGTCAAAGGTAGCATCATTAACTTGAACTGCGTAAAAAATCTGTGGTAAATGTAAGAAAGTGAAAATAATACTTTCCAAATATGCTATTAAAGCAAGAGATTGTGCATAATAGTATTTGGGGTGGAAATGCAGCTGTATAAGCCTGAAGGCTAGTATTTAAATCACCAGTGTTCGTAAGTATATATTTGCAGTTTTTATCCTTCTCTTTTACAAGTCTTTTTACTGTGTGTCAGCATTTCCTGTTCTTTGCATCGATCACCTTTGTATTCCTTCTGCTGTAAATAGTGACATCTATTACCTGGATCTTTGCTCTCAGTTAATTTTCTTTTTTCTTTAAGTAACTTCTAGTGAAAGTCAAATTGATTCCCAGAATGTGGCAGCTGGGGAGTTTCTCTACAGAAAATCTGAATATGGTTATATATGGGGTTTGCTTCATGATTAGAAGTTAAGTGCAAAAAGCTAAGATAAAACTATGGGTTAGCAAATGAAAACTGCCAGTGCTCTCTCATGTTCAGGCTACCAGAGCTTTAGATTAATGTGGCAGCGGGGGAGTTTCTCTACAGAAAATCTGTATATGAATATGGTTATATATGGGGTTTGCTTCATGATTAGAAGTTAAGTGCAAAAAGCTAAGATAAAACTATGGGTTAGCAAATGAAAACTGCCAGTGCTCTCTCATGTTCAGGCTACCAGAGCTTTAGATTAATGCAGTGCGCTTCACATACGACTGCTCGGCAGTTGCAGCTTCCTGTTAAGTATCATGTCCCCTGTGAAACACAGATTATTAATATTTATCAATTCTGACATGCCTTTGGCCTCCTTTGAAGAGTAACATGGAAGCTACCATCATTTTGGTAGTCCTTTGCTGTCACGGTTTAAATGGGGATGTTTAATTGCTTAATTGGGAGTTGTTGGTTTGGTGTGAAAGTCGTCATGTTTTAATTCAGCTGCTCTCTTCAGTTGTTCCTTGACCTTCCCTGTCTTTGGGTTCTAAGTTAATAAAGTTTCTTCTGACATTGCACACAGAAAGGGAAGACCATTATTAGAGTGAAGGATTTTATTCTCTTTTACAGACTGTAGCACTTTGATGCTGTTACACGTCTTGTGACTTCCCTCTTACTGTCTTTCCTCTGGAACCAAATGTCCTCCGAGGCATTTGATAATTTTAGATCATCTAACAAGAATGTCAGTTTTAGACCCAAGGCCTGTACCTCTCCAAGCATTTTGTGTAAGGCCAAGTAAGGATATCTTTATATAAGGAATGTAATTTGTAGCTCTTAAGTTGGATAACTTGGTAATGCGTCTTTTCATTTGAATCTATCATATTCAGTGGAACAATGTTTAATGACAAGTTGGCACACAAGCTGTATTTAGTGCAGCACAGTACAAGCAAATCAGTGGAGTGAAACAGTCCCAAGGAGCCAGGCCCACACTGCAAAGTTTGTGGAGGTAATGCTTTGGTTTAGTTTTGCTCCTGTGGGCCAAGTGACTTCTGCAGTTGGAGCACCGTTGGTTGAGCTCTGGGAGCGTGTATTCCCATGTGGTCCATCGCGCCCTCCCAGATCACTGTGATGCATGAGTTCAAGCATGGTGTATGGATATGATCTGGAGATATGCCTCATAAATGTGCTCCTAAGCCCAAACTAAAATGATAATGTAAGTGTATCACAGCTGCTGTATTTGTGAAATGCTACAAATGCATCAAATGAACCACGATACGCACACAACCCTGGCTGGCATCAGTGGAAGGAAGCAACAGAGAGGGATGAGAGAGAGCTCACAACTCCTTTAGCTCTATCCATGTTTGACTGATGTTCAATGCAAAATTGGTGCCCAAAATCCCGGTCAACACGGTCCTAGAGTTTACTATTTTCAGTGCCCTGCTGTTGCTCAGGAGTAAGCCATCCATTTCATTTCCTCTACATTCTCTTTTTACAGACAAATTTTGTTCCTGCTCTTTTGAGTAAAGTCCTAGAGCATATCCTGTTTGGATTGGATCAGTAAGACTAATTCAAGACCTTTGTTACTATAGCAGATCCCCTTCTATAGATTTGTCTTTTAAGAGCTGTGCATGATCACCAAATCATATAGTGATTGATGATGACACCTTCTTCAAAATAAGTAGTCTGTATTTGCCCACAGGAGCAAAACAAAGAAAATAGCATTGAAATACCAGAAAGTTTACACACATATTGATTATCCTTAAACCAATAGCTTTTTCCTTCATCTCATAGCAGGGGGGTTGGACTAGACGATCTTCTGAGGCTCCTTTGAACCCCTAACTTTCTGTGATTTTGTGATTCTATGAAGTATAGCTTGTTTTAAAGCACCCCCTTGTGCAGGCACTGGGTAAGACAAGCTTCGGGCATCCTGACGCCTGGGTTGCTTGGTCGATATTTGTATTTTTCGTGTCACCCACCCTGCTTTGTCTGTCACAGAGGTCTTTTGTTCAATGGATCGTGTCCAAAGACCTCCTGAGGTTTCAAGCTGTGCTACAGAACCTCATCAAACTGATCTAATATAGATGGAGATAATCTTCAAACTGTAGATTCCCTTTATTGTCCATTTAAACACTGGAAAAATTAAATTCTTTGAAGATCTTGAATAAGTGTGGGCAAAGTCCAAATAGAATTAACCAGTGTGAATCTCCAAAGAGAGCTACCATGCAAAACCAAGAAGATACTGTCAGTAAGTTTCTTATAGATACTATTCACAACTGGTAAAAAAGCTGAAAAATTAAAAGCTATAGACTTGACTCTTCCAGTGACTGGTGACTTCAGTCATTTCATTCTGGCCTGTCCACCTTGAGACAACTTCACAGAAAACTAATTTTTAAAAACTTACCATTTTCTGAAATTCAAACTCCACTGGCAGTGTCATGAATTGAGGAGCACAGATATGAAAACTCTCAAAGACTTTTAGTAATTTTGGAAAATCTTGTCCTTATTATGTAAAATTATTAACTTTTTAAAATTTTTAAGTAATTCTTTTGAAAGGAAACACACATCACTTCAAAGCCAGTGATAGCTGTATGTTTCAGTTGTATTAAATCTGACACTTACATCCGCTTATTGGGCAATCTCAGTTAATGACAGTGTTCGAATGAGCATCTCCTTGGAAGAAATAGATATTGGGGGGGAAAAAAAATCCATTCCTTTTAGCTTTTTAAGACCTGAATGTTGAGGACATTTTGGAAATGTCCCGGTTTTGGATGACCCAATTTTTTTTCTTTCTTACTTATGCTTTGTTTAATAAAACAGGAAGCATACTTTCTTCGAAGAAATAAATAAGGAATTCTGCAAAATTCTTGGTGTCTCAGGTATTAGTTTGATGATCACTTAATTGCATCACAAGAGCTATTGGGTGAAATTAAATTTCCAACAGATTAGAGCAGAAAATGCATTATAAAAAAAAAGAAGCTGAAATCTCTGCAAGTGTTTCAAATGCTCCCCAAGGCACCCTACCTTGTTCATGCTCCAGAGAAGCAAGGCAGCGGTGCCAGAATACCACTTTACACAACAATTCCAGCACAAAGGCACCTGACTACACTGCTTACACAAGCTTTTTAATCTGTAGGATGCATATATATATATGTCCTATTAAGGCCCACATTCGCTGTCTCCTCAATTCCTTGGTTCTCCCAGTTTACTGCATTCGATTTGTTCCTCCTCACATTCCTCCCACAGTGCCATCCGGCTGGCAGAATCCCATCTCATATTCTTGCTGCTCTCCATGTTCACTGGCATCATGATTCCAGTGCTGTGGGCAAGGCAGCAAAACAAATAGCTGATAAATTCGAGGGCAGCGTTCATTTCATATTGACATAACTCCTGTAGATTAACTCAGATATAAAGTACAGTTTTATGTAAATACCATTTCCGATGCTAGGGATCTGACAGGCTAAGTACACCTGTGAAGTTTAGGATTTGAGGTGAGCACACCTTGCCTGTGAAAGGTGGTAGCTTTGCATTTATGAATGCTAGATGAAAAGAAAATGCAGAGATTTGCAGGAGAGACAGTTGTGCTACAAAGTGTTACCACACCAAATTTGAAGATGAAATGAAATCATTAATGCACGAAATACAGATTTTAAGTTGTGGTAAGTGCAGATCTAATGCAACTTGAACTGCAGAATTGCTACTGCTGACTCCGTAAAATGCATCGCATAAACAGCTGTTAATCTGTTCACTGTTTATCTTTTAACGTTTGTTTAGTAATCAGTTTTCAGTTGTTCTACATATGGTAAAGCTTCCCTTTTATAGCAGCTGCATTTAGTGAACATTTGGAGGCATGAAACTGTTACAGAAATTATTGTGTAACTCTTCTGCATTATTTTCGTATATGTCATCAAGGACCTTTGCATAAAAGATCTCAAAAATGATGATTAAATTTAGAGTGTGGAAGGTATAGATGCTGTTCTCCTCCTGCGCTGGTAATTTGTAGTGGAAGTTCCTTTGACTGTGCTTCACACTCTGCTTAGCTACTTTAAGCAATTAATTTTCTCTATTTATACTGTCCGTTCCCTTTTGTGATTCACTGATGTCAACATGTCAAATTTGATTCACTCTTCCATTTTGCTCTGTGTCATATTAGAGACCTTTAGGTTATGTGCTGAGAGAGTATCTTGCAGACCTGACTGAGTCCATTTTGGGATTTTTAGACAATGACAGTTTACAAGATTTCAAGTTTTGTCAGGTGTTCTGGTTAAATGTGGATATCAGTGGCTATTAGAGCTGATTTGTGTGAAGATAAATCTCTTCCGGAGTACATGTGTTTAAGTGTCATCTTAATTCCTTTTTTCCAAAAAATCCTGGTCTTTAACAAGACCATTTTAACATAGTAAGCATTCTCTGTTATTTATTCATGCTTCAGCTGCGTTCAGCACGCTGAACCGAATGAATAAACGGCACATAGGCTTTTCTTTATAGGAAAGTATAGACGAGAGTATAGCTACGTACTGAAGCTTTGCTAGCATTAGGGCACGATGACGAAGAGGGCAGATGCCCTTGGATTGGACAGTCCTTTGCCCTTGGTCAGTCTTTACTGACCTTGACCTGCGTCTGTTGCGAGGAGCCTGCGAGTCTGTCAAGTCCAGCAGCGAGCAGAGGAGAAGGGCTGCTCATTGGAACTGACTGCTTGGATCGGACGCCGTCCCAGAAAAGGGAAGTTCCCAGTCAGTTCCTCTCGGTTCAGACACAATGCCAGGTGGGTTGGGGAGATGATTAACGAAAAAAGCAAGTAATTACCTAAATGTGTTGAGCATTTCACAGATTTGCACAGTGCAAATGTTTCAGTCATACTGTTTTCAGATGGTCAATTTATCAAAATAGCTGCGAGTTTCATACGTGTCACCAGGCATGTAAATACATAGATGTGTTAAACTGCTGTTGTGTGTGCAAATGCTCTGTTAGGAGAAATGTACAGATGATGACAGGATATTTTAGAAAGGCGTTTTCATTGAAAAAGGCTTAGCTGTGAGAGAAATGTGCTTGTTTCTAAATTTAACTCTACTAACAGTTTACCACCTTCTTTCTGTCTGTGTTTCTTTTTCTCTTCCAGTGCCACCTTGGGCCTTAATAGCCATAGCCATAGTTGCAGTCCTATTAATCCTTACCTGCTGCTTTTGTCTCTGTAAGAAATGCTTGTTCAAAAAGAAGAACAAGAAGAAGGGAAAGGAGAAGGGAGGGAAGAATGCTATTAACATGAAAGATGTTAAAGATTTAGGGAAAACCATGAAAGATCAGGTAAAGTACCTCTCCTTTTCTTGAACTCAAGTTGCATTTGAAGGTTTCTGTTTGATGTGTCTGGAAAAGGTTTGGCTTGTTGCCACAGTAGTGGCTCTGTGATGAGGGGATCATCTTCTCAGTGATATCACAAAAGATGAATTGGGTGTGACATCATCGATAAAGCAGTCAGCTAGTTTCCCTACTCTGCTTAAAAAAAAAACTGAGCAGGCATGTAATGACTCGTCTGGAATGAGCAAGCTTATTGGTTGTCCCAAAAATAAATGTCCTTTTTCAAGACTTTGACTAGGACCTAGTACAGTGTTTGTATATCTTTCTAGCACTATTTCTGAGCTTACATGATAAACAAAAGTAGCTGTGAACTGTAAACCTCTTTTTACACAAAAGCAGAAGTTCAGAAGAGAAAGAAACAACAGCATGGAAGAAAGAACGAGAAGCAAAGAAACAAAAAAAAAGCAACCAAAAAAGAAGAGCACAGGGGTGAACAATGCGATGATGTTGGGAGAATCCATTTTCTACTAGAGAGAAGGAGATTAAAGATAGCAGTAAGTCAACTGAGTATGTTGGAGGAAACGATTAGCATAATGCCCTTTGAGCAGCATCATTTTCATAAGAGCAGAAAAGCTTGTCCTTCAGATCTGCTTCACGCAAGAGAAGCAGAAGGTTGCAGGACCTAAGCCTCAGGGCCATAGACTTGACTAATATGTTCCTGAAAGAAAACAAAGGGTTTTTTAACAGGGTTTTAGTATTGTCCTTCCTGTAGCAAGTTGTTGAGAATAAGCAGAAGAATGAGGAAATAAAGTTGAAGTATCCATGTGTCCTCACTGCATTGACAGATTTCCTAAGCTAAGAAGACAAAGAGATATATTTTTCAAACATAAAGTGCTGAAGAAGTTTAGAGAATTGCTTTGCAAAACCCCTTCAGTAGGAGCCAATAACTGCGAAGATACTGCATGGTCAAATCTGGGCTCTCAGAACTCCTGGTAAGGCTGAGACAGGTCAGTCCAGAAGCTCTTATCCAGCCAAAGAGAAGATAGAAGCATGGCCAGGAATTAGCAGTTTCCTCCACAAGTTGGGATCTGGTACAGAGGAAAGCTGGGCTGAAGGCAGGTTGATTAGAAGTACAAGCCAGAGCTGGGAACCCGAGGACTAGGGCCAGCTCATCGGGAAAAAGATCCAAGAAGAGAAGCCTAGAATTCTACGTGGGCCAAGAGACTCATGGAACAGTCCAGCACAAATGGTGACGTGCCACTGTACAGTGATGGAGCAGCCACTAGTGTGGATTATTAACAAGTCTCAAGAGTGCTGGATCAGGTGAGCGTGCTTCACCAGGCATGTAAGGTGTGAGGGGCAAAGATCAAAATCAAGAGAGTGGATGAAGAAGCCTTACAAGTCTGATGACTACCTCCTACTGGATCATATGAGTGGAGTCTGAAAGGAGCTCGGATAAGGAGAGTAAAATAATGGATAAGCTTCAAAGATACAGGGGCATCAGAGCTATTTTCAATTTCCATTATCAGACAAGAGGCATACTCATGTGTTTATATGGTTGTAGGCAATAAAAGGCAAATTTCTCTACAGATTTCTCTTACTGCAACTAAAAGAGTCCTGCACAGGCACAAAAAATGAAGGGATGGAGACCCTTGTATCCACGTTGCAGGTGGAGCGCTTCAGATAATGCCTTGGTGCTCAGCTTCAACCTCGGTTCCATCTGGAGAGAAGATGCTTCATGTGCTTCATGCACTTTGCTAACGTAGATGCAGCCAGTCCAAGGTTAGGAAGATTTGTGAGGCCAGGCTTCAGTAAACAGCAGAGCAGAAAATTTTCGTTCTCCCTTGAAAAAAGATTTTACGCTGATTGTGTTTTCCCTGTATGATGAATGTGAAACAAGCCCCTTTTCTTCAAGCAATTTGATTTAACATTCATAGATTCCCTGTATTTGATTTATAGACTTTGTTCTAGACTATTAGTATTAAGTAATTGTGAGATATTTTCCCCTCAGCAATGCATGGAAAATCAGATCAATTGTTGGAGTACCCTGGGCTACTGTTAGCCAACTCCTCCCATTGAACCAAGAATAATTTGGAAGAACTGTTAGATTATGCTTGTGGAAAAATTCCTTGAGATGTTCGTAATGTTCTACCAATGATAACAAACCTAATACTTTGTTGTATGACAAAAAAATGTGCAATTTGTTGATTGATATTTATGCGGAATTTGTTCCATAATATGTAAGGCCATTGTTGTATTTACAATATATTATTAAGTGTTTTTTAATTATATTCATTAGGACCTGGATAAATGACCATGGATTCTTGAAAAGTAAATATTTTGAATGCCCAACTACATTACTTAATTACTGTTGAAGTTCATTTCTCTCTTTTTCTTGGGGAAATTTGATAAAAAGCTGAATCATGCATATCTCATCTACAAAGAGAGCTCAAACTTTGAAATGTTGCACAGATAGTTATTTTTAAGATGACTCCATTCAAAATATTCTGTATAGTTATTTAAACATACTTTTGCCAGACATTTTGGGATTTAACCAACATCTTTTATGTTGCACAGTTAAACCTAAGCAGGGTAGATTGTCTTGATGTAAATGTCAGACCTTTAATAAGTGGATGGATCACGAGCTCATCAGCCAAGCTTCTTCTTTGTCGTCAAGGATTTCAAAAACAACACACTTAAATTAGTCCCTTAAATTCATACCTAGTGGTCTGATAGTGTACAGATTTTAAGCCCTTGACATTCTTGACATGACTTTGACCAACTTTGACCACCTAGTTTGTGAAATTTTAGAATTTTTTCTGTATGACTGATTGTTTATTCTAACAATTTAATTTTGAATTATTATTAATTTTGAATTATTAGTGTAAATTCTAATATACTTAGCTGAACTCAATGCAATGCTAAATATAGAATATTTCAGTTGAGAGAATTTAACTGCTTTAGAGGCTCTGGCATAAAATAGAAAAGGGAATAACAGGGAATAAAAAGAATGCCTTTTGGCTCTTTAAAGAAGCAAATTTTAATGTCAAAAAGAAGGATTTGAAGATCAAGATGTAAATCTAATGCCATTATAAAGGGCGGCATACAGTACCAAAGATCTGAAATGTCAAAAGAAACGATTAGTTCAGCCACTGTTAGGCCTGAACCTACAAGTACTAATTATTTTCTACCTTCAGCTGTGAGTACATAATAGCAGTTGATAGGCACTTGGTGTATGGCAAGATCCTAGTTCCCTAGGCACACGAAACTTGAAAGGGAGGAGCATTTGGTAAGTTCAAAGCATCAGCTTCTGGGAATATATTTTCCGTTTTAGTCTGCTTTTGTTTGTCAAAGAGAACTTCTGACCTACATGTAATGCTGACCTGCATACCCATGCCCAATCATTATGGAGCCACATCGCTTGGCATAGTTAAAGATCCTCTTGACACAGACACTCGGTCACGTCAGCGATCACATGTGATAGCTAGATATTACAGAAACTAGAGTAAAAATTCGGTCTCTGTTAGAATATTTGTGCTTCAAAATATCCACTTTCCTGAACGCAACTGCAAATGAGAAACTATTTATGAAATAATACAGATTCTGAGCAAATGTAGGTGAGGTAAAGTGGGAGATGAGTTGAGAGTAAGGTGAGGTTTTCAGTCTTGAAACCTGTTTCCATTGCAGATACTGGTTACTTTTTAAAGTAGAGTATACAACTCCACCAAAGGCCACTGGCAGGATTAGATTCTCATTCCAGGGGAGGCAAATTGTTAAGGGAAGTATTGCTGTTAAAAGGTCATTTCTCCATGGTTTTTGCTAATGTTTGTGTGTGGATGTTTTAATTTTTATTTCTTCCTCCTATGTCCTCCTTGTCTATATTGTGTCTCATGACTGTTCTGGATTGTCACTTGCGGTAGGTTTATTTTGCTCTTTGGACGCACCTAGTCTAAAGCTCTGATACATATAGTCTTCTGACAGCTCTGGCTCCTCAGCTGAGATTTATATGTAGTAGCTTTGATACACACATCAAGAGGCTGAACTAAATTGATTGGGTATTTTTTTGGTTGGGTATATATAGGAGGGCAAAAGAAAAGAGACTGTCATTCTTTTTGTAGTTAAAATATCAAGGCAAACTGTACTGGAAAGCTCAAGTTTAAAATTGATAGGCACTTAAAAAGAGCTTGCTAATTTTATTTCCTTTTTGTATAAATGTCACCGTATCAGAAGTAGAGGAAAGCAGTGTGTATTTTTAATGTCTTGGTTTCTAAGTGTTGCTCAAATGATTGGTACCTCATCAAACTTGCTGTGGGCTCGCACATCATCTCAGTACAGCGCCCACACTTTAAGTTCTTAGTGCTCCACACCAAACTCTTTTAAGTGGTCTTACTCCAGATTTCCGTGGGTGCAGCACAGTGATAACTAACACCGTTGTTTTTATGAGATCTTCCCATCACAGTTTTCATCTTTATAACTTTCCAGTCTCTGTTAATGCCCCAGTGGCTCCCACTACTCTTCTGTTTAGGGAAAAAAAAAAATACCCCAACACACAGCTCCAGAGACAGTATAATAGCTGCTGATTTGTTTGGTCTGAATTTAATGCATTGGTACAGCAAAATTCTTGCTTAAGCTCAGCCTGTGGGCTGAGGAAAGGAGTAGATGTATTCATTTCAGTCATGAACACTGGCACTGAAAAATTACTGAAATTTAGCCCTATTGCTTGGAGAGTAATTGTTGCGGTGGTCTGAACATTTTATTAGGTCACAGAGCATTTGTGGAGAAGGAGATTTAATAGCTCAGTCCTTTCTCATTGCATAAGGCTAAAACACTGTCACTAGTGAAAGATTTTTGGCTTACAATGAATGTGTCTGCTAGGTGAAATAGGGGATTTGGGATCAGGTATGTGTACTGGACTGGAGTATGAGGAACATATTCTTGGCTCTGGTACTGACTTACTGTGGCTCTTATGTCCGCCATCTGACTTCTCTATGTTTGTTTTTCCTTTACAT